AACTTGAATTATATTTTCGTGAGAAAAAAAATAACAAATATTACATAGATAAGATAATCAAACTTGGATTGTATTTTTGTGTTGATTTTAACCAACTCGTTTAGTTGAATATATATATATATATATATATATATATATATATATATATATATATATATATATATATATATATATATATATATACAGGATAATCAAACTTTAATTGTATTTTTGTGTTAATTTTGAACGTGTTTTGAAAACTCATTTAAGTTCATATATTTAAATTTGAAAGAAACAACAAGATTTCAAATTTGATTTGATTGGCCGATTATAAATGTAATTGAACGAAATGAATTTTTTCAAACTGAAATTACAACTCAATATTAGTTGGAATAATTAAAGTAATAAAAGATAACAAAAAATACATAATATTTTTTTATATTAATTCATCTATAACACATATTATGTCCAATTATTAACTAGAAATCTAATTTTCATTTTCAATCAATACTCAAATATTATTTGAGATTGGAACATAGCAATGCCTAGGTTAGCTTCTCCAAAAGACATAAAAAAATGATTGATAATCTTCTCTTGTCTTTTATTCTTTGCAAATTTGCATACATATAGAAGGAGGTATGTAACGGTCCAAGAGGACACATATGGAATAGACAGAGCAATTCACAAAAAGTAGTAACAACTTGAGGAATTATTACTATGCCCCTTTTCCCCTAATTAAGGATCATACAATTACTTAATTCTACCCTTAACAGTACAATCATAGTCATCAAGATATTTGAGTCTAATTATGTGACGTTTGGTTTTGTTCTTCACCATTAGACTGCTCATGGGTTGTTCTATCTCCTCCTCACGGTCCATAACATCCCCTTCTCCTTCAACAAACACCTTGTCCTCAAGGTGCAGTGTTGGATAATCTTCCAGCAACGTGTCAAGTTCCTCCCAAGTTGTATCTTCGGGGTACATTCCTTTCCACTGGACCAACACTTCTTTTACATCAGAATCAGCAGATGTATGCCAATCAAGCACTGTTAGGGGTTGCAACTTTGGCTGATTATTGAAGGTTGATGGCAATAATTCCAAGTTTGGCGTCTTTTCTTCATTATGGAATGACTTTAACTTAGAAACATGAAAAACAGGATGAATTTGACAATGCGAAAAGGCCCATAAAAACATTGAGCTAACTTAGAAATTTTTGTGTTCCTTGTTGTCACTTGTTTGTATGGTCGCAGCTTAACTAAGACATGATCACCAACTTTGAAGGGGTGAGGCAAACGCTTCTTATCAGCATAATGTTTCATGGTAGATTGTGCCTTGAGTAACTTGGAGCGAAGCTTATCAAGTAGCTCTTGTCTTTTTGAAAGATCTGAATTCACAGCCTCGTTACGACTTGATCCTGTGACATATTGGGGCAATGAAGGAGGTGGCTGACTGTAAATAATCTCATAAGGAGTAACCCCAGTAGAAGAGTGATTTGCTGAATTGTAGTGTCACTCAGCCCAATGTAGATATTTTCCCCACAATTTTGGTTCAACATGGACAAAATCTCTCAAATAGTGCTCCAACATCTTGTTAACTGCTTCTGTTTGGCCGTCACTCTGGGGGTGATAAGCAGAAGAAATTCTCAGCTTTGTGCCATTCATTCGGAAAAGCTCTTGCCAAAAATTACTCATAAAGACAGGGTCCCTATTAGAAATTATACTCTTAGGCATGCCATGTAACTTACAAACTATAAAAGCAAATAATTCAGCAACTTTAGTAGCTAAGAAATTGGTTGGAAGCATGCCAAAATGAGTTGCCTTTGAAAACCTGTCAACAACTACTAAAATAACAAAATAATTTTGGAAAGAAGGGAGTCCTGTAATCAAATCAAGTGATATATCTTCCCAAACTGCAAAAGGGGGAGAAATTGGTTATAGTAACCCATATGGTAGATGTGTAGGAAACTTGGTTTTTTGACACACAACACAGGTTTTAACAAATTTTTCCACATCTTTTTTCATTCCTTTCCAAATGAATTTGTCACTCAATCGCCCATAAGTTCTATGTATTTCAGCATGGACAACCATTGGTGTAGCATGGAATTCTTCTAAGAGGACTTGCTTAAGAGGAGATTGGTCAGAGATATAGATCTTATCATGATAAATAATTCCTTTAACAATTGTAAATTCAGGATGCTCTTTTGGATAGCGAAGCACACCTTGATACAATTGTTTGAGTACTGAATCCGACCCATAAGTCTCTTGAATTTTTGCTACTAAATCACATTGTGGCACTGTCAAACCCATCATTTGTGATGAGTTTTCATGCACCCTGCTTAAAGCATCAGCTACTCTGTTAGTTGCTCCTGGTTTATACACAATTTCATAAGTGTACCCGAGTAACTTTGACAAGTAATATTGTTGTTCCGGTGTTTGTACCACTTGCGTCATCAACTCACGGAGGCTTCGTTGATCTGGATGAATAATAAATTTTCTACCCAAGAGGTAAGTGCGCCATTTCTTAACTTCAGCAATGATGGCATGTAACTCCCTAACATAAGTAGAAGCTGACAGGACTTTTGGGCAGAACTTCTTGCTGAAATAACAATTTGGGTGGTTATTCTACATCAAAATTGCCCCCATCCTTGCCCAGAAGCATCCGTTTCTATAACAAAGTCTTCTTGAAAATTGGGTAATGCCAATACAGGGGTCTGAGTCATAGCCTTCTTCAATTGTTCAAACGATTGTTGTGTTGCTCCAGACCACACAAACGAGTCTTTCTTTAGCAAATTAGTGAGGGGAGCAACAATAGAAGCATAATGTTGAACAAATTTTCGGTAAAATCCAGTCAGCCCCAAGAATCCCCGCAATTGTTTAAGAGTGGTAGGTGTTGGCCAATCAATCATAGCCCGAATTTTCTCTGGATCAGGACTAACACCACTCCTGGATATTATGTGGCCTAAGTATTCTATTGTTTCCTGCACAAACAAGCACTTGTTCCTTTTAAGGAAAAATTGATTAGTCACAAGACATTGGAAAATAGTATCCATATGAAGGATGTGATCTTTTAATGACTTGTTATACACTAGTATGTCATCAAAGAAGACTATAACAAAATCACGCAGATACGGTTGAAATAACATGTTCATAGTTGTCTGAAATGAAGCAGGGGTGTTACACAATCCAAAGGACATTACCAGAAATTCATAATGCCCCTCATGGGTGCGAAAAACAGTTTTTAAAATATCACTAGTGTTCATTCTGATTTGGTGGTAGCCAGATCGAAGATCGAGCTTTGAAAACCATTGTGTCCCATGAAGTTCGTCCAACAGTTCTTCAATCGATGGAATGGGAAATCGATCTTTGCTTATAATCGCGTTTAGTGCTCTATAGTCTACACAAAACCTCCATGACCCGTCTTTCTTTCGAACTAGCAACACAGGGGATGAGAAGGCATTGTTGCTTCGCTGGATAATTCCCTCTGACATCATACTCTTGATTTGATGCTCAATCTCATGTTTTTGAAAATATGGGTATTTGTAAGGCTTGACATTCACAGGATTTGACCCTTCCAAAAGAGGAATACAATGATCAGTTGCTCGATTTGGAGGAAACCCACGTGGTTCCTCAAACAATTGAGGATTTTTTTTTAACAAGTTCTCAATCTCAGGTAGCAGGGAGGGTTTTTGAAGCTCTATTGATGGAGGAAGCAATTGCAGTTGAAAAAATTCTGCTATACCATTAGTAGAAATCATCCTTTTGATCTGATGTATGGTGGCCTCTTGAGGTGTTATGCGAGGTTGGCATTTAAGTTCAATCAATTTCCCTTCTCTAATGAACTTCATTGTCAATTTTTCATAATCAGTTAACATTGGTCCTAACATCGTTAGTCACTGTACACCCAACACCAGCTCTGCACCACTCAATGGTAACACAAATAGGTCAACAAAAAATGTTTGTGAGCCCAATTTTAATGGCACCTGATTACACACTGATGAACAGGAAAGCTCCTCTCCATTGCCTACCAAAACTTGAAACCCTTGAGCTAGAGTAACTTGAAGGCCCAAAAATTTAGCTATACGGGCTTGTATAAAATTGTGGGTGCTCCCACTATCTACTAAGATTCCAACAGGGGTCATATTTACATGACCCAAAACTCTGAGAGTTTGAGGAATAGAGTGGCCCAATAAGGTGTGTAAACTGATTTGGGATGAGGCTGTATCAAGAGCTTCAGGCGGGTCATTAGCTGTCGGGTCGTTTATTTGGAGCAACTGGGTCAAGTCAATCTCATCAATGTTTGAGTCGGTCGGTTCGGATATCAATAACATGAACTCACGTTTGCACTTGTGACCAGGGCGATATCGTTCATCGCAATAGTAACATAGGTTTTTATTGCAACGATTTTGGAGTTCAGCAGGGGATAAGCGTTTAATGACGAGAGGGTTAGGGTTTGATTTGGGTTTGAGGGAAGAAGAGTTTGTCTCGTTGGAGTTGGAATTTGAATTTGTTTGTTGAGAGTTGATGAGTGTCGTTGAATTCGTGGTGGGAAGAAAAATGCGGTTAGAACGAATTGTTGTTGAAGCTTGTGCGAACTTTTCCTCTTGCAATTTCGCTAAACTTATGGCTTGCGACAATGAAATTGGCTGGAATGCTTGCACCTCTCTTCTAATTTCAGGTTTGAGGCCTGAAACAAAACAACTAAGGAAGAATGGAGCAGGTAAACCCACAATCCGATTAGCTAGTGATTCAAACTCGTTCTGATATGCACGAACAGTCGAGGTTTGACAGAGCTTGAACAACACTCCTCTTAGGTCCTCATAATACGATGGTGCAAAACGAACCTCTAGAGTGTGGAGGAAATTCTGTCAAGTCGAGATTAAGTGGTTGTCATGCATCCATTGGAACCACGTAAGGGCTTCTCCTTCCATGGAGAAGGCAACCATTTGTAACCTTTGATCTTCTGGAGTCTGATGGTAATCAAAAAATTGCTTGATTTTGAAAATTCAAGCTAAAGGTTCAGACCCATTAAATCGGGGCATGTCCAACTTCATAGATGTGCGAGTAAATGTTTGAAGGGTAGAGTTGTTTGTTGCGTTTCCTTCGACTCCATTATGACCCATCACTCGTGCTTCCAAATTAGCTATACGAGTCCTCATCTCTTCCTGAAAAGCTCTCTGGTTTTTTAATAGCTGAATAATGGAGTCCATTTTATCATCGTTTTGTGACGAAGACATTTTCTCTCAACGAAAACACCAAATTGCAATGCCTATATTCCAGGTTAGTTAGGCTTCCTCCAAAAGACATAAAAAAATGACTGATAATCTTCTCTTGCCTTTTATTCTCTGCAAACTTGCATACATATAGAAGGAGGTATGTAACGGTCCAAGAGAACACGTATGGAATAGACAGAGCAATTCACAAAAAGTACTAACAACTTGAGGAATTACTACTATGCCCCTTTTCCCCTAATTAAGGACCATACAATTACTTAATTCTACCCTTAATAGTACAATCATAGTCATCAAGATATTTGGACCTGATTATGTGACGTTTGATTTTGTTCTTCACCATTGTACTACTCATAAGTTGTTCTATCTCCTCCTCACGGTCCATAACAAACATGAATATTCTTTTTTTACTAACTTTATCAAACTATCTTCCCAACATTTTTTAAAAAGATTCTTCAAATTTTGTAACATAAATAAATAAATAAATAAATAAATATATATATATATATATATATATATATATATATATATATTACATATACATCCTTCACACTTAATAAATAACGATATTAACATCATTAAATTTAAGAAGAAATAAAAGTTTTAAAAAATGATTATTATGAATTGTATATTATGTATTATTATATATAATTTTTTTTATTATCCTCTTTTATTTATATGAGTTTTTAATGTAGAGTCATTATCTCAAAAACTTTATTTTAAAAACAGTTTTTATCATTTTAGTTTTCTTCTTTATTTTGTTCATCATTTTCCTTGGTTTGTGTTTGAGTAAACATTAATAATTTTTTTATAAACTTGCAATTAATATATGTTTCATGTAATAACATTTAATAATATTTCCCACAAATTTATAAATATATGAAAAAATAATTGAAAACAAATATATTAAAATTAAAGATAAAAATTGGGATTAAAATAGTAAAATTATAAGTAAAAATTTATATCTAAATATTAAAAATCGAATGTAAAAATTGAGATTAATGATAAAAATTAAGATTAGATTAATAAAAATTGAAATTGACAATAAAATTTAAAAAGATAAAAATCAAAGTTGAAATAATAAAAATGAAAAGTGTAAAAATCATGAAGAGAATAAAGATCAACAAAATAAAATCAAGAACGAAATATTAAGAATAAAAAATAATCAATTAAGAATATAAGTAATTAATAATCAATAAAAAATTATATAAAAAAATGAAAATAGAGTAAAACAAGTCAATGATTATCATGTAATTAATATATATTTTTTCATCTAATAACATTTAATGATACTTCTTACCTTTTTTTTTAATTCATGTTATTTTTATTGACTCTTTACGGGAAACAGGTGAAATTGTTAGGTACTTTGAACTTGAAATGGAAAATAACTTTTTGATGTTCGTTAACATTTATATTTATTATTAAATATCAAAACAAATGGATTAATGTATTATATAGTATATCTTCAATTTCACATGTCATATGCTTTATCAGATACATTGTCTGCTCAATCCATAGACAAAAATCCAGTTATCGAACATATATAACTGTCAACAAGCTATCCTTTAGTTTCTGTTTTTACTTAAAATTTTTATTATTTTTTTATTTAATCAAAACTTAAAGATTGAAGTACATAAAAGGTTAAATCTAACAAAGTACATCCAAAACATTTAAAGAAATTTGATTTTCATTTTTCGTTTTTTTTACTGGTTTTCAATTTTTTGGATAATTTGATTTATAATGTGTTTAAAATATTAGAGGATCTCCAATAACAGAAGCTTGTTGTGTCTCATCAATAAACTTTATAATTGGAGGAAATCTACGTGATAAAGTGAGCCTTTTTCAACTGATATTTGATTCTTCTGCAAATTTAGCAAAATATAATTATATTATGCACAATATCAACATTAACTAACGACAAAACACAAAAAAACTACTGAGTTATTTGTAGATTCTTAAAATTTCTTCCATTAAAATGAAATAGTTTAGTATTAATGTCACACCAGAAAAAACCACAAATCAAAATTTTTTATTTATAAAAAATTAATGCGAATTAACGAACGAAATTAAGAATAGATTATCTAATAAGAATGATGTGACTTAACCAAAACCACCAATAGCATACTTTTATGTATATATCAATTCATATGGATGGTTTTAACGAGAGATACTTAAAACTTTCTTACATATAATTAACTAGTATATATTAATTATGAGTTATTACAAATACTTATTCAAAATAAATAAATAAAATAGTAAATTTTAATGAAAAAGCATGCTCTACCATTTTTTAATTTTATATTTTTTGAGTTAAATAGTAATTTTGATAACATTTTTTATAGGAATTTTATCACAAGCTTGATTCTGGTCCCTTGTTTTTTCCATGGTATTAGCTTTTTAATTTTAGAGAAATTCAGAACGATCAATTATTTTCAGAATCACGGATCAGTGATAAAATTCTATCTTCCTACTTCCTCTACCTCACACTCACTCGATTACTCTCTCATGGCTTCCTCAGCACCCTCTGCATCTCTCATCTCTTCCAACCCTAACATTCTCTTCTTACCCAAATTTCCTTCTTCTTCCTTTGCTTCCCTCTCCTTCCCCAATTCCTCCAATTCTCTTTTCAAACCTTTGCGCACTTCCCCCGTCGCTCCCTCTACTTCTCTTAATCGTTCTTCACCCTCTCTCAAAACCTTCGTTGTCAGGGCTTCGGTAATTTTTTGTTCCTTCCACTTATTCTTATTTTATCTACAAAAACTTTTACACTGCGCTGTAAGAAGTAGTTCCTATTTCATGTTTCTGTTGATTTACTATTACATGTTTGTTTGTTGGCCTCTATCTTTGTGCATTTGTCTCTCTTCCGGTCAATGTATGGTTTCATGTCCAACTCTCTTGTTTGGGATCCTCACTAGTTTCGCTCACCTGCAAATTTTATGGACCTTTGTGACTGAACTTTGGACATGAACTACGTTGTAGATGGTTAAGATTCTGTTTATGTTTGCTGCATTGTCGAGCATACTAGTTGATAGGTATGTTACATGTTGTCCAATGTTGCACAAAAAAATCATTGTAATTTGTAATTAGCGGGACAATGCTTTAAAATAATATGATAATTCTGCACACTACCTCCTTCAAGGTTGTGAGTTTTGTTTTGAAATTTCTGTTAATGTGTGTGAGAATCTTTTTTTGTAAACATTGTCTGCTGTAACTTCCTTGATGAAGCTGAAAGCTCAATTTTTTTAGAGTGTAATGTTTCTCTGGCTTGACCTTTGAAGTAGTTTATTTATTCTTTTTTATTTGCTTGTTTTGAAAGAGTGAACTTCCATTAGTTGGGAACACAGCACCGGATTTTGAAGCAGAGGCTGTTTTTGATCAGGAGTTTATCAAGGTATTTATGATACAATTCTGGTTGGAGAATTTTGTGATTACAAATTATATTGAGTGAAACACTGTTTTATCAGGTCAAGCTGTCCGAATATATTGGGAAAAAATATGTTATACTCTTTTTCTATCCATTGGACTTCACGTTCGTTTGTCCAACAGGTTAGCTGACATTTTAGTAGACTTTCAATTGAGATTGTTTTGGATGCTCAAATTTCTCCTTTTTAACTGTAGTATTACTTGTGCACAGAAATCACTGCCTTCAGTGATCGGCATGCAGAGTTTGAGCAACTAAATACAGAGATTTTGGGTGTTTCAGTTGACAGTGTGGTGAGTTTGTTTTGACCTCTTTTTTAACTCTTTTGTCAGCTCTAACTTCTTTATAGTTTTTTCCCCGTACGTTTTTTATGCCATTGTTTGATCCATGTAATTGACGATACCGATTGGGGAAAAGGATTTGTCGTTGTTATACTTTTCTTGATTCTTGAAATGACATGCTTCTTGCCTTTATATAAGCTGCTGAAGAAAATGAAGGGTGCAACTTGGTCCACTCATACTCTCCACATAGTTTAAGGTTTTAATGATTCGTTTTACAGGAAGAAGCTAGACCGAGTGCTCTTGGCATAATTGGCAAAACTGGACGAATTCTGCATTCTTTTTTCTCTGAAACTTAATGCAAAGAATTAGGATGTATCGAAGAGTATGGTTAGAGGAAATTATTTCATAAATAATAATGAAAAGTCAAATATTGGGCAATGACTTCATTCGAGCTTTGATAATTGAAATGTCTTTTCTTGACCTACAAATGTGATGTTATTCTCAATATTTGTGAAGGATGTCTAACATTGTGGAATGGGACACAATATTCCTACTTGTGCATGCCCAAGAAAACAGACAGCTTTTTATGTTATGATCCATTACTATTCCTTTTTCTAAAGGCAAAAATATCTTTGTTTGCCTTATCCAAAGGCACTTCTTATCTTTGCTTCTTTTTAATTAGTATGCTATTGTTGTCATTGTAGTTTTCACATCTTGCATGGATTCAAACTGATAGAAAGTCAGGTGGTCTTGGCGACTTGAAGTATCCTTTGATTTCTGATGTCACCAAATCCATCTCGAAATCTTATGGTGTTCTCATTCCAGATCAGGTGCTATTCATCTTCCTTTCCTACCATCAAGCCGAATGTATTTTATGCTTTTAGTTTCAAATTCTCTGGAAAGAAATGTAGGATGCTAACTGGGTAAAATACCTTCAGCATTTTGTGTCAAGTGTTGAAATGTTGGCTGTGAAACTATTGCTTTTCATTTAACTATTTTGAGCACTTTTCTCAACAATTCTAAATCTTTCGAATGATTTAGGGTATTGCGTTGAGAGGATTGTTCATTATTGACAAGGAAGGGGTTATTCAGCATTCTACCATTAACAACCTGGCCATTGGTAGAAGTGTTGATGAGACAAAGAGAACACTCCAGGTAATTATTCGTCTAATTGGAACAATACTAGGATTGAACACGTTTTAGTTTATCTCCAACTTTTTATTTGTTTCTTTTATCCTTCTGTCATTTATATAAATTCTTTACGTCCATTTATGTGCATTGGTCTTGCAGGCCTTGCAGTATGTGCAGGAGAACCCAGATGAAGTTTGCCCAGCTGGGTGGAAGCCTGGTGAGAAGTCCATGAAACCAGACCCTAAACTTAGCAAAGACTACTTCGCAGCGATTTAAAGGAGGATAATAGTTAAGAGTAGCAATTGCTCATTTAAATCAATTAATGGTGTAAAAGGAATTTGTTGTGTGCAATGCAGGTATTTTTTTATGTTTTGACTGACAGGGTCTGTTTCATAATTATATAAATGCATACTGCATTTCCATGATTTGAAAATGAATTATGTACCAATTTTCACCATCACTTCTGTTTGGGATATATTTCATGATTATTTATGGATACTGTGCTTTTGATATATGGAGCTAAAAGTGGTCATGGTTCTGTAGCTTTATCAAGCAAGGGGGTATTGGTAAGAATTAATTGGACTTTTACTAAGATTTAAAACACCAACAAATATTATCATAAATTACGAATTTCTGGAACACATTTTAAGAATGCAGTCCCGTTGATTTGTGCAAATAAATATGCTTGTATTCATCACGAGTTTCTCTTTTTTCTCTCCTACAGTTGACTCCTTGCATGGCAAGAATACATGGTGAAGTAGGGTGATAAGAGTAGAGAGAGAATTCTATTCTTATAATAGAAACTCTATTTTTCACCATAAGCTCTAGGTTACTTGGCCTTGTACCCGAATTTAATGTACTCACTGTAACGGCAAAAAAAAAAGGAAGGAAAAATGCAAATGAAGAATTAATATACTTTCCAATTAATTAAGTATTTATCCAATAAAAACATGTGTGAATATATAATCGGTGATTCTTAAATTCGTAATGGATCGCATAGTTGTATTTTCAGAGACAATATCAGTACTCAGTTGTAATAAAGTCAAAATTTATTTAAATTAAAAAAAAAAAAATCGAATTCTGAGTAATGAAACTGATTGAAGATGTACTCAGTTTTACAGGGTCACTGGTCGTAATGTTTGCATGTCTTTGCCAACATTCATTTAGCACTGGCTACAACAACACAGGACAAAGGAGTGAATTACAAGTGTATAGAAGCCGAAGATAATTTCCAGATGAAAAATAATTATACTTTTTAATTGTCGATTTATTTTATAAACAATAAACTTTTTCATTAATATTTCACCTACTAGATATTAACAATCCTATTAACAAAATGTTTTTTCAAACTGCTTTTCATCCTTCAGCTGTTAAAGGCAAATTCATTTTTTGGGTGCCTCAGTCTGCACTCAGCCCATGGTTGGATGGGACTTGTCAGAACTTTTGGGAAAACACAGCTGTTTTTTTCTCTCAAAAAAAAAAATAAAAAAAATGTTTTTACAATACAGTATTTAAAGATACTTTTCTATTTTTGAATTTTTTTAAAGTATTTTTCATTGCAAATTTGGGAAATATATTTCTTAATTAAGTTTTTTTGTTTTTTTGCTTTAAGTTTCAGGTTATGTCAAAAAGTTGTTTTTTAAGTATATAATTTTACGTGCGAAAAGCATATTGTTTGGTACAAGTATATAACTTTATCTCGTAAACTTTAATTTTTGGGGATATTGGGTGTGCGAGTGTCTACTTGTCTACCTATCCATATCCTGTACACCCGCCACTTCACTTTGTTGCATTCTCTACTACTTAGAAATTCAGGCAATTGAATTTGAACTTGTTCGGAACTCTGCTGTGTAAAGGAACAGAAACGCAGATTGAAGGAGTATGGCCTTAATCCAGAAGGGAGTGTGTTGTGTCTTTCACAGCCCTAACCACACTATAAGCTCACTCAACCTCTCATCAGCTGTTGTATGCACCGCCACCAATTACCATGCCCCAAAGCCCCCATCCAAAGCAAACCTTCAATCAATGACTCGTTCCAAAGCACCGAGGATGTTGAAACCTCTATCTGCGGCTCCCGTTCCACCGCCGCTTGACCTCACAGAAAACAACGTGAGCCAGGTTTTGGAGGACGCTCGACAGGAGCTAGGTCAAATCTTTGACACCTCTGTTGGTATGACAGGTAAGGTAAGCGTTATGTCGATTGGTACTTGGTAGATTCTGGTGTGATAATAAGTGTAATGGAGCAACATAGCATAACCGAATTTCAGGAGTGGTTGAACTAGCTGACTTGGATGGACCTTTTGTGAAGCTTAGCCTTAGGGGTCGCTTTTGGCACAAGCGTTCCACGGTCCTTGCCAGAATCGCCAATTATCTCAAACAGAGGATTCCTGTGAGTCTCTTATGCTTCTTTTTCCATAAGGCAAAAATAACCACTAAAGTAAACTATAATATTGCAAAGCTTAATATTTACATAACTTGTGCCCTTTTTAATGCCTTGGTTTCAGGAAATTTTAGAGGTCGATATAGAAGATGAGAAACAATTGGATGATAGTCCTGAGAATTTTTAAGGTACTGTGCTCGGCTCTCGCTCTTTGGATAATGCTCTATTCTTTTGATTTAGTTGGTCTTCGACCAGATACAGAAAAAATTGTTTTGCGCGGATGAGAAGCCATTAGAAAATGTTTCTGTGGGAATATCTATATAATTGTGCTATTTTTGTTATATGTTATTGTGACATACACATCAAACCTTCTCTCATAATCCTCATTATAATCTCCCTTTCTCTTTCTCTCCTTTCCTTTTGTTTCAATCAATGGTGCACATTCTGTATGGCAGATTATGTGCACAAAAATGTACAACCAACATTTGATCTTTGGGATACTGCCTTGTTGGCGTCATTTGTCAGATTCACCAAACAACATAATCTCTTACCTTGTTTAAGTCATGTAGTCAGTAGTCACTAAACAATATCTTTATCATTTGTACTATGTTATATACATTCATTCATCACTGTTTAAGGTGCTTCTAAGTATCACTACCATTGCCATATCTACAAGGCTTTTGTTTTTGGTGGCCAATGATTTGATTGCTCAATTAACATAGTTTTGGTTTCTAAGGATATACCAATGCCTTTTTGGTTTGAGATTAATCATTTGACATGGAACAACACAGTTAGGCCTTTCCCTCTGTGTCTGACTAATACAGAAATGGCAAGGACTTCACTGTGTCCAAATTCAAACAGGGTCTTAATAAATCTGTGTTTGTTTGTTTCTCTCCTTATGTTTTGCACAGGGTACTGGAATTCAGGTTCACGTATCTATTTACTATATTTCTGAATTGATATTTGTTTTGAGGATAAAGTAATTGTGTTTTGCATACAAGGAGAAAACTTATCAATTATATAGGTTTGAATTGAATCATATTTGATTGAAGAGAACTTATAGATGCTCATGCACTTCATAAATCTACATTTGGTTTAAGATACAATCAAGAAAGTATAGGAGAAAATAAAATAGGATATATTGCTATTTAAACAATATTTGTTTGGTTTTAAAAAATTTCAAAAAATTCTTTGTACAGTAATCACAGTAGCTGAAATAACATCTTGTGCCAAATCATTTACTTGCAATCTTTTTCACAATTACAAGTCCTATTTGTTTAATCAATATTTTTCAAAAGCATTACGTGCATATGAACTTTCAATTTTAACATGATTTGGAATTCTTGAACATTTGAAGTTATTAAACTCTTATGTAAACCATTCATCTTGAATTTCTTGATCTTTATCTGACTGACAATGTGTGTATGAACTTAAGTTTTTTCTTTGTTAGATATTGAAGATAGAATGAAGTTATTAAGTTGTTCTACGTACTGACTAGTTTGACAAAGCATAACTCTATCATAAAAAAATAGAGATAGATTAAGTCAATTAATGGAAGTAAATTTGTATGATTGTCATCAATCAAAAGGTAAAATGTGTTATCTTCCCTTCACATGTAATAAAGAAACAATTATGCTTGAAGTTATTTGAAAAATAATAATTCTCTTAGTATGATAAAGAAATGTCTTTACAATACCACTATAACCATATAATAGAAGAATTTTCTTTCTTGTGGAGTAAAGGAATTAATCTTTATTTTATCCTAATTCAATTTATCGGTAGTAAACTTGATTTGAAATAAGAATGAATATGAAAATTCAAATTAAGGTAGACAATTATAATATTTTAAAATTTTATCATTTGACATTAACAATTCTTCTAGTTGTAGAAGATAGAGATTATGCAATTCGGTTTCTTCAATATGCAAGCCTACATATAAATTTTCATAAATGAAAACTTTCATACTAGATTTAACTCCTATCTACTTTTTGTATAAAATACCATCTGACAACAACTTCTAATTAGAATTCCAAACATGTGATTTGGACATTGTGTTCATGACTAACAATGTAATAAATAGTTTTCGCATATCAATACCAAGAGCAAGTTGGCTTGCCTTGATAATTGTATCAATAATTTTTTTATCATATGCCAACAATCCTAAAACATAGTTGGTAAGATTTTAAGTTTTCTTATTGATGGTTTTTATGCTATCATGACCAATTCAATGTTTTTGAATTGTAAATAAAATCTTCATTTAGTTCAATTCACCAAAATAGAGAGCAACATACACAAGTCTACTTTATATATGTTTTTTGAGCTATCTACACAAATTTGCTTGGAAATTCAACATAAGTCAAGTTCTTCCCTTCATAAAAAAAAAATTATTAGCCTTAAACCAAGCTAAAAACATTGTGTGAACATCTTGCTAATTATTGAAAGTAATATTAATTTGATCATCATCCTTAAAAAAAATGGGTTACTTAGATAGGAGATGAAATGTTAATATTTGGATAGTTGATCATCTATGATGAATATCAAACCAAAGATTCTCCAAATTGTCTTAGGTGGTGATAAGTATATAATCATAATATCATTTTATTTTGTCAATAAAGGGGGATTATGTAAAGTCATCAAAAGTACTACTGATTTTAAGTGTAGTTTTATTTGGACCCTTATTGACATATTTAAACAAATATTTGATTGAATTTGACTCATTGCAGTATTCAATATTCACATATGTTTGATATCTTATCAAAAGAAATAGACTATAAGGAACAACACTTCTATTATTGAGCTTAAGTCCATCTTTTTCAACAAAAATACCATTGTTGTGATGTTTATAACATGGTATAGTATACTGAGCTTCAATACCACATTCATTAAGAAATCTAGCGAAAGGTCCTGGATTTCTTCCAGTCTCATCATATCTGCCATAATACTCTCCACCTCTGTCAGACCTTACACATTTTATCTTCTTTCCTGTTTTCAACTCAATAGCAGCTTTGAAGGACTTAAAAGCATCCAAGGAACTTGACTTTTCTTGTAGGAGATCTATCCATCCAAATCTGGAATAATCGTCTATAAACGTGATAAAATACCTGTATCCACCCATGGAAATGGGTGTCATAGGTCCACACATATCAGTATGAATAAGTTGCAACACATCATCACACCTGTTTGCACCTGCATTTCTTACTTTTGCAGTAAGCTTGCCCTTAATGCAATCAACACAAGTATCAAAATCAGAAAAATTCAGATCATGCAGAATACCCTCTTTAATCAACCTCTCAATCCGAGGTCTAGAAATATGCCCCAGACGTCTATGCCACAACATAGAGGAATTTTCATCAACTCTACTACGCTTGTGTCCAACAATAGAATTAATAGACATGTCATTCAAATTTAACATGTAAAGCCCATCACATAAAACTCCTAAGCCAACAATAATTGAATTGAAATAAATAGCAAGTTTTCCATTGCCAAATTCAAAAGTGTAGCCACATTTATCCAAAGCTGAAACTGAAATTAAATTCCTTCGCATAGAAGGTACATAAACAACGTCTTTCAATAACAAAACATGTCCAGAAGGTAAATTTAAAGACACTACTCCTATGTCTTCAACTTGTGCTCTAGCTCCATCTCCCATGATAATCTTGGATTCAAGGTCACTTGGTTTTCTCAGGCTTGTGAACCCCTGTAAAGAATTCACAACATGAATAGTAGCACCCGAGTCAAACCACCAAGAATTGGGAGAAACATCAACAACATTGGATTCAAAACAAGCTAGAACATACATGTGCTTACCTTCCTTATCAGCATTCTTCTTCTTAAGAATATAACAATCAGTTAGCTTATGCCCAAATTTCTTACAATAGGCACAATTCCCCTTAAAGTACTTCTTCTTAGGCTCCAAACCTACTGATGCTTTCCCTGTGTTCTTCTTTTCATGGCGAGATTTGCCTTTGAAACCCTTTTTAACAGGTTTAGTACCTGAAGTAATAGCTGTGAATTGCACACTATGCGGCTTGGATTTTTTAATAGATTCTTCCTCTTGGGAAATAATAGCTATCATTTCATCAATTGTCCATTCCTCCTTCTGAGCGTTGTAAGAAGTCTTCAACACATCAAACTGAGAAGGAAGTGATTCCATAACCTGCCAAATCAAAAAACTGTCACCAAGCTCCACCTTTAAAGATTTGAGTTTATTATAATAGTGCACAAGCTTCATCATATGCTCACGAACACCACTGACACCATCATATTTGGTCTTCTCAAGAAGTGACAGATATTGACCCTTTTGAGCTTTGTCAAAAGTCTTAAACTTCTCACCCACTGATCTCAGAAAAACCTTAGCATTATCAGCATCCGGAATGCTTTGTCGAATAGACTTTTCCATGGTGTATTTCATCACCATCAAACATACCCTATTTGAGTGTTCCCATTTCTCACGATAAGCTCTTTGGACAGTAGTGGACTCGGGAGTAAGAGCTGGAGGCTCGTTCTCTCTCAAACAAAGGTCCATATTGGTAATTGCCAAATACAAATCCGAGAGATTCTTTCCAATCCTCAAAATTTGTCCCATTTAAAGTTTTGACCGAAGTCAATTGCATAGGCAAAGAAGCTCGGTATCAAAATAACAAAGAAACATTTAATACGCACAATTATTGTGCAAATAAACAAAATAAATGTCTCTAAATACACAACAAAATATGCCTATAATATCAAATTTCTCATTCACTATGACCCCGCCTAAGGGTCCCGAGTCATAATAAATAAGAAATATAATTAAAATAAAAATAAGAATACAATACATATCTTATGTCACAAGAAATCTAATACCGATAGGGTATAAGACAAATGATTGACATAATAAAATTTAGAATTACATTGAAAAAAAAATCATTAATAATAAAATACCGATAGGGCATAATTAATATTAATGTCATATAAAATTAAATTAAATAATTAAATTATTTTATGTCCACAAAATTTTATACAACTATACCCACGATAGGTGAGTTTACAATCATATAAAATTATATTATGCTTAACAAAAGAAGAAGAAAAAAAAAAATTATGTGATACATGAATTAATAATAATAATAAGGGTCCTTAATTTTACGGATCAGGCCCGGGGACTTTTCTCAGCCCAGCAATATGCATGAGCCCATTCACATAACCTCTTGATCCAATTTCCTTCATAATAAAAAATTTAAGAAAAACATAATAATATTATTTGTTTTCAAATTCATCTTTTCTTATTATTATATATATAATTTTATAAAAACAAAATAATATATTAGTGGAATTTAACGCTGAATTCTCTTCCACGCCCATTCGTACACAGTGAAACTAGAACTGGACACGCCTATGCCCACAACGTGCAAAGCCACTGGAACTTGACACGCCCACGCCCACAACGTGCAAAGCCACGTCCATGAAACTGGAGCAGCACATGTACGAACACAGTGAAAACATGCACCGCTTAGTCACTGAAAACGTGCATCGTCGATCACCACTACGACATCGCAGTTGTTAATCAGGGACACGAAACACAGATCCACCATGAACAAACTGCCCACCACCATGAGAACCAGATGCGCCTCCGCGAGAAGACAACGCACGTCTCGACGGAGTGACCAATGCATATCGCAGTGTGCCACCACGACGGAGAGACCAACGCCGCAACGAACCACTTTGTGTCACTAGGCAGCGGCTCAAACGTCGTTTCTCCACCACGCCGGTGCGTAGACCACTGTCGCCGCCACCATGCAGTGAAACCGGAAAACAAAGGCGCAGCCACGACGAAGGACAAAAAACGCGCGGTGCGTAAACCACCGTCGCCGCCACCATACCATGAAACCAGAAAACAGAGGCGCAGCCACGACGAAGGACAAAAACGCGCGGGAAGAAGAGGTTCGAAAAAAAAAATTTGTTTGATTCAAAACATGTTAAAAGGATTGTATATTTAGGGTTCAGCCTCTGATTGCAGATTTAGGGTAAAACATAACAAAAAACATAACAAAGAATTTTGAAATTCACCCCTTAATTAATTTGAGCTCAAACGAGAAAATTAAATTTTCATGCTTTCTGATAATGAATAATTATTAAAATTTATGATACACTCTACAAAAAATAATGAACAATTATATTTTGTATCTTAATGCTCTGATACCAATTGTTTGCTTACATAATAATATAAGATACAATAAATATAATATATTCTAAATTGTGTACCTGGAATTGTTGAAGAATCCATAGAATGCGTATGAGAGAATGTTGCTCTCTTTCTGATAGGTTTTTTTGAACGTAGTGTGTAAAGTGGTTTTATTGTCACACTTTTTAAAACTGACTAATGGGGTATCAGCTTTTATCCACCTATCAGTAGAGACCAAGGATCTCTCAAAAAGTAACCGATTACGAACAGATCCAACCCATCACGAACCGTTCATCGAAACCCAAATTAAATTATTATTTATAAAAAAAATGATGATGTGTAATATAATTGATAATTACAAATAATTAATTTATTGATTAATGTTAATCCATAACAAATAGAGAATAATAATATATATATATATATATATATATATATATATAATAAATTATATAAATACAACAACTTGGACATCTAATACAATGTCGAACTATTTTTATATGAAAAAGGAAAATATCTTTCCATTAATTCTGTACTATTGTGTAAGCATCTACCCCAAGAATGATGGAATCTTTGCTTCTAGACAGCTGTGCATTATACGTCATGATTATTGATGAACACGTATTATGCTTATTAAATCCAGAAACATGAGTTCAGGAATAACATAATTGAGGTATATATATATATATATATAATTGTGTGTGTTCCTTTGCCCCTTGAAAGAGTTAGATGGTTACATTTGATTAAGAATACATGTTCTCTAGTGTTTTCAACTGGCAATTTGACCCAGTTGATATTTAAGAATTTATCTAAAAGTAATGGTTCGTTCAAAGAGACAAGACTGAAAAGGTTGCCGTGAATGATTCGGATCTTCATTGCCAAGGCTATGGAAACATGACTTTCAATTAGGATCATCCTCATTTTAGACAACCCTCATTTCCTGTATACTAAGAGATTGGCAAAAAAATGTTGTATTGACTTCTGCAGTTCCTATGCCCGTGTAATGATTGGATGAGTCATTGAGTCCTAATCCTATGTACCCAAAATGCTATAAATGTTAAAACCCAAAATCCCATGGATTCTCAATCTTCCACAAAGGATTGACACATCACATGGCTACTCCTGATTCAGTCGCGTAATTCAGTCTTTCTTCCCACACCAACTTGGACGCAAACTCGTCTTGCTCAGGAACATGCTCCTGCGTCCATAAAATATTTGACATGATTAAAAGAACAAGCAAAGACATGGAATATCAAGAACACGTAACATGGGTCATTTTATATTTATAAAGTGGTAGGCAGTATTTACGCACCTCTAGTTCTATCATCAGTTGTTGGGCTGTGGGCGCTGACACAATAATGCGACGAGCCTTAGGGGATATAAAGCCTTCATCAACTGCCTTGTCAATGAAAGACAACAAGGAATTGTAAAATCCATCCACATTCAACAGCCCCACCTGCATCTCAGAAACATGACAAATAAACACTATGTACATTACCAACAATTTTCATTGACCAAGAACTTTAATTTGTTTTGCATTTGTTCTTCAATCTTCATCTGTTTTATATTAGGTGGTCATTGACATAATTAATTACTCCCACTCAAACGGAGAACCTCTCAATAATGTAACGTGATTATGATTAATTGAGCAAAATCAGACACTGTTTCTCATGTGAATTCCAATTAAATAGCCCACATTTATCGGATTCTGTATAATCATATCGAAGCTTCCTGGTTGTTAATAATCATATTTTTATTTATATCATACATAAATATAAATTACTAAGTAGCATCGAATATAATGGATCCGAACTGTAAGTTGTTGTGAAGCATTCTATGGCATTAAAATTTTAGTGTAGAGCTTACGGGTTTGCTGTGGATCCCAAGCTGCGCCCATGTAATGACTTCCAGCAATTCTTCAAGAGTTCCATATCCTCCTGTTAATTTGTAGCTTCAAAAATTAATAAGCAGCAGCTCTATTCTACATGTGTTACTCTAAGAACAACAAATATTTCCTTTCATGCAATAACTAATCAAGATTCTGGATCTTGTTTTTGTTTTTGTTATGTTGTCATGCATAATTGAGAAAAAATAGTTCTTACCTGGAAGGGCAATAAAGGCATCGGCTTGACGGGCCATCTCGGCTTTCCTTTGGTGCATATTAGATACGGCTCTCACTTCCCCAATAGGATCACCAGTTATCTGCATTTGCATTCATCCACCATTCCTTATATCGATTCATTATTTGAACTTTAAATTAACTAATGATGCTATCACCATATAGTTATTTACTGTAAATTAAGTTATTGACAATGGGATTTATATTTACCTCTCTTGGCATAAGACTTGTTGGGATAATCCTGTACCAAACAAGCCCACGGTCAGAATTAGAAACAAAACTAAGATTTCAGATGTCCAACAATTTGAAAAAGAAAAAAAAGAAACATCTTAAATTCTTTTGGTGAATGATATTGATGAATTTAATATATCACAAATCATTCTTTGATAACAAATCTCTCTCTCTCTCTCTCTCTCTCTCTCTATATATATATATATATATATATATATATATATATATAATTCGTTGTTAGAATAGTGTAAATAAAAGACCCTAATTTATAATATTAATATATGTATTATTTATTCTTTAATGTGTATTTATAAGAATAAAACATGGAAACTGACTTATGTTAAAGTATAAGTAAGTGAACGGTTTTAAACTAATTGAAAGCGGAGGAAGGAATCATTGTTTTCTTGGAAGTGCAAGAAAGAGAAAATAAATAAATAAAATACTAAAAGAATGAAACATGATGTTGGCTCCAATCTCATTGTAACATTTATGTGGTTGGTATAATTTATACTTATTTATATATTTGTATAAAATGACTTATTTTCACTGAAAAAAAAAATGGATGTTGGCTCCAATTGTTGCGCAAAACGTTCTACCGTCCCTTTCTGGAAGAGCCAAAAGGGATTCGACTTTATCCAATACACCAAAGTTGCCCAAGAACCTTCTAACTACCGGCAAAGGACACATTTTCTATTTTTCGTTTTTAAAATCCCAACAACGGTGCAGAATGCCCCATATACTATAAATCCCTCTGAATTTGTTTATCATTATTTCGTCCAAGATGCTCCCTTTGAACCTACATTCGGAACCTTAATTTGATTAAGAAAATAATGCCCCACATTGCCAGCATTTGATCCCGTCATGTTCTACCATTTCTCACACAACATGGGAAACGCGCATGAGTTAGTTAGTGACTACATAATTCTTTACCTTAATCACGAATTCCAAAATCACATTCAACTTCACAAAACTTTCACGTTGAACGCAACTCAACGGAAATATAAATATAATCTAGACGTGGAAGTTCATACTACTAAGTAAAAACCCAGTATGGCTCATATATATATAAAAAAAATGATTAAGCTGGCCTATTAAATTGACACACATGTACAACACAAAATGGGAGTGTGTGTTGAGAGAGTGAGAATTACAAACCCTAGAACATGGCGCCCACCATCATGAACTGCCTGAGAAACGAGACCCATCAGCCCCACGCTACCACCTCCATACACCAAATCAATCCTTCTTTCCACCTTCAAAACACATCGAAAACCAAACCAAGTAGACGCGTGTCACAACACTCATCGTGAAGACAAAATTAAACAAACCAAACCAAATGTTTGGACATGGCCGAACTAATAAAATTTTATTATAACTGTTTAGTGGAAGGAGCAACCAAAGGGGGCGTACTAACATGTCATTTACTATTGTATATTTTAACTAAAACATAGAATGTAGTAGTGAGAGGTTTTACCATGTTAGAGTAACAACTAACTGGCTTATGTAAAAACAAATGGAGGTTTTTTTATTTGGTCATGTGGGAATTGCGAAAGGCTTAATACCATGCTTCTTAGAGTAATGATACTTAGGAAGCACGTTTGTTCCCTAGAAGAAAAAAGAATATATATGTGTGTGTGTTTTTTTACTTATTTATTTACATTTTAAGATGAAAAGCTATTTTGAGTATTATAAAAAACTGTATTGTGGAACATCATGCAAGATGGCTGCTTCACTGACAGCATATTACAGCTAGCATCCTAGCAATCTCTCTGCGTGTGTATGTGCGCATTTCTCTCTCTCATGCCAAACTTAAACCCTAAACCATATTTCCTCCACAATCATCAGCACGAGTTGCCACTTGTTTATAATTTTTTTACATAAAAATAAAAGAAACTGAGAAGAAGAGAGATGTGCAACGAGAAGAATAAATATGGAACTCCAGAGTAAGAAATCAAAATGAATCATTGAAATTTGTGCAAAATTTGGGAGAAGAATAAGGTTAGTAATGGAACAAAGAGATTTTCATGTAGCAATGCGGGACAAAAAAAGACAGGAGGAGAAGGAGAAGTTCATGTCAAAACCCAAAATTCCTTAGATTCAGATTCAATCCTCCAATTCTATATTTCAATTAGCTTTTTTCTAGACCAGACTTGAACAGAAGAGACTAAAGCAAACAGATAAACAGGTAAAAATTAGAATATCATCAAAGAAGAAAATCAGACAAAAAAAAAAAGAATGATTAATTACCAGTTCCTTGCCAAGTTGAACAGCAGCTTCCTGGTAAGTAGGTTTTTTGCCTGAACTGCTGCCACAAAAGACGCAAATCCTCTTGAACCTGGATTTGGTATCTTCCATTTTGTGGATGATTGATGTAATATTGTGTGGGTGAGTGTAGCCTTTATATATGGGAGGGGAAACAAAGAAAATGAGAAGAAGGTGACTATTTGTTTAATGTATTTTCATGTATGTGGATATCGTATAGGTACATACATACGGCTACAACATAATAAAATCAACTACTTTTATTATTTACATGTGAATATTTTTTTCTTTTTTTTGTTTATGCTATTTTAATTATCATATTGTCGTTTATTCTTGAATATTTAAAACGTATCATAAATACACAATAATAAATTTCATATTAAAATTAATAATTCCAATTTAAATATACATACTTCAGTTTTTGAGTTTAAATTTATTTATTTTTAAAACTAAAATAAGTTTTCAATTTTATAAATTTTGCCTTCAATGTCTTGTGAATGTTGGACAAAAGTGATGGTGGGGTGAAGTAATAACAACAATTAAAAAAATACTCATGACAAATCATAAGTTAACTAATAATATACTTGAATTAGAAGTGATGTTTTGTTGGTTTTATCAATTTCAATTTATAGTATCTCTTTCATTAATTTTTGTATATTAAAATTTTCATAATTAAATAAAAGAGTTTTTATTAAAAAATGTTAGAAAAAAATAGAAGAGTAAGAGATGAATTGATAGAGAGGTTAGGTATGAGCACACAAGATAAATCATAACTCAATACATTAAGATTTTAGGTTAAAAGTGGTATCAATCCTTATATGAATTGAACTTAGTTGTGTTAAATTCTCTCATATTATACTCTACCATAATATAAAATTGAAAATCTTCCAATTTCTTTGCATGAAAATATAATTAGCCCAATAAAAATCATAATAAAACAAAACAAAAAAGAAGTGGAGACAAGATTTTAAGAAATATGTAAATTTTAAACAAATTTATTACTATAAATTACTTTAACAACTTCTATTAAATTTAGGTTATTCCATTTTATAAATAATATTTCTATTAAATTTAGTTTATTCGATTTTATAAATAATAAAAAAAATATAGAGATGACAATTATAGAAACAACTGAATAATGTCAATGACTAGTATGATAGTATGAAATAAATTGATAAATTATTTTAGAATTTAAAAAATAAAAAATATATTTGTTTTTAAAAAATAAATAATAAAAATACTTTACAAATGAATTAATAATTATTTTAATTTGTTTTATTTTTTTTCCACATAAAAAATGAAAATAGTTATGAATGGCACACATTAAAAAATATATAATATCTTTATTATGGTTTAACTAAAATGGGACTTTAAAAGATAAAATATCTTCCCTGGCCATTATACTAAATGATTTTCATAATTACAAAATAGACACTTATATTCTTTTTTTTTAAATAATATATACATTTTATATCTTCCTAGTATGTTGATATTAGTTTAATTTGAGAAAAAAATGAAAAATCAGGTAAAAAATCCATAATAAAATCTTATCATAATTATTAAATTAATTATCTTCATGTTTAAAAAATCGTTTCAAAATACTAGATTGTTGGATATAAAAGATTGAAAAATCATTTCAAACCTCTAAATTTTTTTCTCTATTGTAATTAACTAATTATAAACATGAATATTTACAATCCTTAAGTATTGTTATAATTATAAAAATAATAAATAAATAACTAATAAGATATATCCAATTGTGTTATCATACATAAAAATATAAAATTAATCAGAGGATGTAGTTTATCCACGTGTGAATCCATGTTCTTTTGGGTATGTAATTTAGGATTCGTAAACCTTGAAACAAATGGCCAAGTTTTAAGAAAGATACATAAATACCATGTTGTCAACTACATCTATAAAATATAACTCTGTCGGAACTTAATCCAACACAAAAATTTAATCAGATTCGACATATGATTGAATATTTAATATATTTATAACTTTTGCAACGATAAAGGTTACCTTCTGTAAAATTTATATTGCAACTCATATTTTGTTCATAGAATATTAGTTTATAAGTTATAACTGGCAAAATATTCTTAATATTTTTATATGCAGTTTTTACCTTCTTTTTTCTTGTCATTAAGGTTAAAATATCTTTTATTAACCAGAAAATAAAAATTCAACGTCAAAATCTTTATTATCATACTTTAAACAAGTAAAAATCGAGTAAAGGAATATAGACAACATATTTTAATTGTTAATTTATTTTTAAATATTTTTATCATTTTTTTATAGTATGCTAATTCTTTTGGCAATTAAATTTTTATCCTGGTTTTTAAGTGTTGTTAGAAAACGTTGATAATAAATCAATTTTTAAAATACTAAAATTATAATTATCTAAAAAATAGAAATTATTTAAAAATATTACATATTCCAGATGAAAATCCCGTTCAACAGTTTAAAATAAATTCTACTGGAATTAATTTGATCAGAATTAAAAATAAAGGTTGAAACTAATTTTTTTGTTTGATTAAATAAAATTAAAAATTATATTTAATTTTTTTTTTCAAAAACTATTTCTTTTTTTTCTATTTATTTAATTTTAGTTCTTCGTCCTTATTTTGTTTTCTCATTATTCAAATAGCTCAAGGATAAAAACCTGTTTTTATTTATTCGCACTGACTATTGTGCGCAACTTCGTCTAGTGAGAGTACATAGGATTGTTAATTGATGTTCTTATATTTATTGTGAGATTAATTAAATATAAAAAATATATTGATGAAAAACAATTATATACGAATAAAACAATATCATAATATCTATAATTATATATAATGGGTTATAACCACTTTTTAGTCTTAATATAGAGAAAAAAATAAAAATATCATAATTTAAAGAAAATTTAATTATTATAATTTATATATTTTAAAAATAGTAAATATATAAGAGAAAAAATATATAATACATAATTAATAGAATGATACATTTAAAAAGGGAAGAAAATAAAAAAAATTAATTATACATATTTATTATTTTAAAAAATAATTATGCAAGCGCTATATATATATATATATATATATATATATATATATATATATATATATATATATATATATATATATATATTGATGAAAAATGTTTAAATAGGAGTAAGAATAAACAATATGAACACAAATTTTATACTTTGTAGACAATTTATTTAGAAAGCGAAAGATAGCCAAAAATATTGAGACAAGTTTATTATTGTAGCGGGACAAGTGAGGGTGTGGGTAATGCACATAATACCAACAACTGGATCTCACTTATTTTCAAAATGGGCCCACTAAAGGATGGGCCCAGCCCAAATATTTTGCTAATAAATTATGCTCCCACTATCCACCCAACCTATTTAATTTCGGATAACATTTTAGTTTTATTTATCTCCGAAAGTGCTGCTCAAAATGATCATCCAATGTCCGGAACACAACAGATTACGAAAACTAATAGAATTAAATATTTTGTAGCATATGAAATTTAAACTAAATTAATTTTATTTTTCAATTTAAAATTGATATTTTTAATTTTTATTGATTTGAAGAAAACTTATTATAGTTTATCTGTTCAAAGTTTAATATTTTGGATGAATAACAAATATATTCCTTGAATATTTGGTGACTAAAACAAGTTTTTTATTAATTTTTTATTATAAAGGTTAAAGAATATCAATTAAATTTTTTAAAATCAAACTTATTTTAGATTTAAGCAACTAACAATGTAATATTTAAAGTTAATTAATATAAGAATTTTTTTGGTCCACGGAAAAATAATAGGAGTAAAGGATGAATTTCTTTCGTACAGCTATACCATTCACTGGTCCACAGAAAATGGCTTCCCCAACGCATATTGCCTTTGTTAGGAAGGGGCGACAAAAAAAAAGGAGAATATTTTATTATATATATGGTTTTGTTGAAAAAAATATTCTTATTTAATTAATGAAAGAAGAAAATAAATAATAATAATAATAATATATTTCTATAGTCCATTTGACTAATATGATGACTCTCCAACTGCATAGCACCATTTTATCAAAATCATTTTTAACAGAATACAAAGTCTCACTTATCACTTTACTTTTTCTCAATGTTTAATTAATAGGTTCCTCATATAAAGGTGCTCCACCCATTTTTATCATACAGATGTTAAAACGATTGGCAAATCAGTTTACTATGACTTCACGAATAAAAAATAAATAAATTTATTGTTTAATTTGATGACTCATAATTTTTTTTTCTTAACTTAATCTTACATGTTAAACTAACGATTAATTTTGAGCTGATTAAAAATAAAAATTAATATATTTTTATAAAAATAAATAAATAAATTTAAAAAAATATTTTAAAATTATGTTATTAAAATTTATTTTTATTTTAAGTATTTTAATTTAATATATAAATTATAAGAAAAGATATGTATTTAATCATAAAATAAAAAAAATTAAAATATTTTTATTATTATATTAAATTTTAGTGATTTATTAATTTAAAATAATAATTCATATTCATAATTAAAAATAAAATAAGTGGATGTTAAATATTTTTTTCTTTATATTTACTTCTAAAATAAGTAAATCTTTTATTAAATTAATTTATAATATATAGAGATATTAATAAAATAATATTAATGTTACTTTTTTCTAAAAAATTGTTGAGTTTACATAAATTATGAATTAAACAGAATGATTCAATTTAAATTATAAAATTTTTAGTTTAATTTATTTGTTGGGTTTCGTCCGTCTATAAAACTAAATTTACTGTGACACTTCTACCATCTAATATTTATAATTAATTTTAAAATAAAAAATATCTTTTATATATATATATATATATATATATATATATATATATATAAGATATTTTTTATTCAATTATATGTATGTGTGGATCGTTTCTTCAATTATTATTTTTATAATATAATTTAGTTTGTATTTTTTTAAAACTCAAAAGTTCTAAGACTTTTATTTTAGTTTTTTTTTTTCTGATTTCATGACCAAGTATATAATTATCCAATTATATTTATCAATACAGAAATTTAAGTATTTGTTTTGTCCA